GGAGAATGGGAAATAGAAAAAAAGCTTGTGTTTTAATGGCTGTTTTTAAGTATAGAATACTGTGAATTTTGAATCATTTATTACTTTCACCGTTTGCTGATTTTACGGCAGGTTTTGTTTTCTTTAACTGAATTTTCTGAAATACATAAACGTTTTTTACCTGCATCTTCCGTTGGCCTATTTACGCGTTCTTTTCTTACGGGTAAGTAACGAGAAATCTTTATTGTTCACATGATACATCCTGAAATAAATACATTCACAACGAGAACCAATTTGAAAGCATCAAAAAACAATTTACTTCATAGCGAATTATCTAAACCTTCATATTTACTAAAATGAAAAGAAGTAAAGTAAAACAGTGAGAAAGGATGGACAATTTTGTTCTTCAAATCAAGAAAAGTAGAAATAAAGAAAATAGAGATGGAGGGCGTGTCCTTCAGGGGAAACTAGGATAAAATAAATGCTGGTCTGTATGATGAAAAAAAAAGGTTTATTCTTGAAAGCTTTCGGTCACAAGAGGATGCAACGTCGTCAAACAGGGAACATATGTTTCAGATGTTCTGAATGACCTGGTTTCCTCCAATTCTTCAAGTTCCACAGACCTTTATAGTTATATCTATATATATGCACACACGCACGGACGTACACACACACACACACACACACACACACACACACACACACACACACACACACACACACACACACACACACACACACACACACACACACACACACACACCACACACATCACACACACACACACATATATATAGTATTTTTATCATCTTCAATTTCATATATTCGATCTTAATTTCAACATTCGAGTATCACCTCCGTGTTCATTTTTTATGATAACTGTTACATTTAGAAATCTTTTATCATCTTCGTTTTTCATATATTCAGTCTAAGTTTTTCATAATTCGAGTATTATCATATCCATGTTATTTTCAGAAATCTTTTATCATAAATTTTAAACCATTCGGTTATAATTGTCATTCGACTATTATTCTTTTGCACAAACTTGAAAGTGATTATGATGATAAATAACATTTCAGGTGGCGAGAATACTAATAGACCAATGGTTAGGACAATCATGATGATATCAGTAGATCGAGGACGGCATTAAATAAAGGTAATGATAACATTTAATTAAAATTTCAACATTACCGACTGAATAAGGGAGGTCATCAGTAGCTGTCTATAAATAGGAATGTAACTGATACATTAAATATTAAATTAAAATCCTCATCTGTACAAAATGCCTTTGCTACTTATATACTTGTCTTGTATTTGGTGCACTACCCCTTTGAAGGAGATTTACTGTCTTTGTCCCGCAAACTGAGAAAATTATTGCATTGCAAAATATTGAAGATTGGAACAATGAAAGTGAAACAACCATTCATAACGATAGTCATCATCAAAGTTATACACTAATAGAAATGACCATGAATATGAGAACATTAGTTACAGCATTTGCATGATCATAAACTGCAACTACTGCTACTTATGATGAAAATCGCAAGATAATCGAATTTTTAAGAAGGATCATAATAGTAATCGCTACAAAGTTTTAAAAACGAATTAAAATAATGTTACCGAAAGTAACGTCAATGGCATTAACAAGAGCAATATCAAAAGGATACTACTGCACACACAGAGTGCCACTAGTATCCACCGCAACGCTACAAACAAAGAGAGGTCTTTTTTCCTTTTTTTCACTTTCCTTTATTAGACTAGCTTCCCGGTTTATTCATGTTCCATTTGCAGGATTAGATTTGTCGTGGTGAGTGATGCAAATTTGGAGCATGAAATACAGCAGACACAGGGTATTGATCTCTGTCGCTGTCAGGTGTGCGCTGAAGTAGCTCATAGCCGTCTTAGACTAAGGGCTGTCACAGTCTATGCGGCTTCATTAAAGAGGTTTGCCTTATAATTGATGTTGCGATTTCTCTGTCTGTCTCTCTCTCTACCCCCCCCCTCCCTTCTCCTTCTTCATCTCCTTTCTCAAGATGTCTTTTGTATACTGGCATCTTGAGAAACGACAGGCTTGTTATTAGTATGATTAGCAATATATCAGAAAAGGAGACTTGAGGCCTTTTTAATTATATATAAATTGAACGCAACTTTTCCCAACACTGAGTTTATAAACGTGTCAAAGTAAAAGTAAAAATGTCAAAGATTCGGATTGCTTGGTGAGTGTGCTACCAGGCGTGGGAAAGGATCTGGAAAAACTATTGTAAAGGACAGTTATAAACGTCGAGAGATAGAGAAAGAGAAGAGGAGTTACGTTACGCTTAATGCAGTTCACAATTCCCTTATCACCATCTGTTTTGAAGGAATTTAGTGTCCGAAGAGCGCTTTGGGAATCACAAAAAACTACTCCAGAGCCCCGAGACATTAAGTATTCTGTTGCAAGGAGTATACCTGCCAACTCTGTTTGAGTGGTGCTGGCCCAATTTTGTACTCTCATATGAACTTGATGTTGCAATAAACCATT